TTTCCTCTTTACTTGCAAAAAAAAAGATCATTCGATAATTTGTAATAAAATAAAGTTATATACCTGAGTGAGGATTTTTTCAACTTCATTTTTTTTCACAACAAATTGTCCCACCGTTGAGTGGTCTGGCTTGAATCCTAAATTCACAAGAAAATCATTTAAAAAACGAACTACCACACTTCCTTCTGCAATTATCTATACTGAATAGGAGAAGCAAAGTCAACTCACAATAAAAATTACATGTCTGAGTAAAGATTTTTTTCACTTTCAATCCTCCACTTTGAAAGGTTAAATCTAGTATTGAGAAAGTTGAATACTGGAGTCCTCTAATATCACAATTTAAAAGAGAATGAGTTCAATACAAAAAGCATTTCTTAACATAAAACGAATGAAATTCTTTAACTAATAACAAATTGCAAATGATTCCTCTCTCCCCTCTGCCCTGCTTACTCAAAAAAAAAAAAAAAATCTGCTCAACAGCAAATAAATATTCCGTTTACCAATATAAATCAGCTGATCAGTTCCTTCAATCAGCTGAAACCTTTTGGCTTTCCTCTTGAAACAATCAACACGATGCTTCAAGTGGCCTTGAAGACGTTTAGGAATTTCTTTGTTACGATGATAACGCACCAACTCCTCATAAGCTTCATTAGTAAATCCACCATATACGCATCTGTAAATTGTTACATTTATTTCAACAAAATTAAAAACGTTATAATTATAATTTTTTGCCGAGCACTTATTATGTCGTAATATGAAGGTAGGCAAGCTAAAATTGTAAGTTATTTTTTCTTTCATGATTTAAGCAGTCTAACACTGATCTACGATCGATCACAAAACTTTACGAATTTTAATAAAATCTGCAGCCGAATACTCATAAGAGTGAAATAATACGAACTCATCAATTCGTTTTATTTCAACTTGTGTGCAGAGTTACTACATGTCAACTTTGTAGGTTGGAAAAAAAGACTAGGCTTTCGTTTATGTAAAAGAAGCATAGCGGCATTTACTCTTTAAAAATACTTGAACGGGAAGGCTGAAAAGAAATAGTAGATTCAATCTGTCATTCATTCTAGCAAAAAACAGCCATGCTTCATATTTACTTCAAACCCCACTTGTCAATTTGTATTATATTCATTACATTTATGGATGTTCTCAATAGGCAATACATTAAATAAACAAACTCTAGTGAAATTTAAGTTGAAAATGAGATGCCCTGATATCAGTTTAATTAATAGCAGTCATTTCTTGTTATCCAACTTACTGTACACCAAATTACATTATACAATTTTGCTTAACTGAAATGTCTATAAAAGTCAGACTTTTTTTCATCCGAATTTGAATCTGTCATCAATGCCACTTCCAAATCTTCTGTTTCTTTTTCAAACTTCGAGCTCACCCTGCTACCATCATCACTCATTGTTTATCCGAAGATCTGTAAAACACACAATATTTTACCGCGCCTACATAACCAATTACAATTACGCAAATCAGCTCAACGTGCTATTCTTTTATTTACTAGTCATTTTATATGATATAATTGTATTATCTCATTTTTCGCATATAAAATCACCCACAGAGAGAGCAAAAATAATTTCCGGACAATATGATAATTTAAAAAATAAAACTTTGGAAAACTTTTGATGTAGTGTTCAGTAACACTACTTAATTCACTTATACCAACATCAAAAGCACCTATTTCAAATAACGTTATGATCAAGTTATAAAAGCTTATTTGCAAGTACGATATAAAGTTACATGGATAAAATGCATAGCTAGCAATCTTTATATGTTCAAATGCATCCAAAATACGTACAATTATAAATATTATGTCATATGATGATAGAATGCTCACCTATAATCATAACTGCAAATCGATAACACTTAAGAAATGATTACCTTCATGGTATCTATCCGGATTTCCCACATATGGCACCACTCGATATATCTCTATTGCATTTACCACATTCCCGATGTCATAATTACAGGTATTCGGTAGAGTTTCTCTCCGAAACACACAACAAGTAGACGAACACTCATCACTCCTTCATAAAATGCATCCACGGAAAGGGAGAACTTTTAACGGGTTAAATCCCGTGAGGCATCATTAAATTAGGGTTGTGGCCCGCGGGAAATCCGGCTGCTTGGATACCACTCTTCTGTTCATCTATACTTATAGGTGGCGTTTTGCTGCCACACGTGGCGTAAAATGCGCAAAACCCGTGGAAGTTAAGTTTAAAATAAAAACTCCTCACCGTTGGTGAATTGAATACGAAAATCGATCATTTCATCACGTGCGAGTAAATAGCGAATTGGAATGACGCATTGAAAATTTCGATCCCAATCATTTATTCTTTGAAATTTGAATTAAATGTTTGCAGTGAGCGACGGTTGATTTGAGTAATGATGTGGGGCAGTTTATTTGTGGAAAAGTATATGGAAAATGCGAAATGTTCGATTCGGTTAAATCCTTCCGGCTATTTTTTTTTCTTTCACATTAATCTTTTCTGCT